AAAATTACATTTACCAACTCAAACAGGCCAAAATTTATAAACGGAACACATCTGCCGACGGCATCAGCTGACTGGCTTCGAATCGGGAGATTTTCGAGTACGTTTCGACACATTCTCCTACTCAGGTAGTGTTTTTTTTGTCCAATCTCTAAAAGCGTCAGCTGTCCGACTCGCGCCTGTACAAAATCTCTCGATGGTTGCGTTTAATGACAACGAGCATCTGTTCACGCAGGTGCCATTTTGGAATTTGTTTTTTTTTTTTTGGAACACCGATCACCTGCGTTCAATTTAAGAGTGATAAGGAACTTTTTGAAAACTCCAGCCAGTCTCTCAACGTGTTAATATGCCGTTCACTTTCGCGTGGTCATAGATTATTAGAGCATGCGCGCGTGATTATTTTAATTGAATCAAAATCGAGATGCAGCCTACATCCGTCGTGAAGCGTATCAGGCACTCATGAATAAGTTCTAGTTTATAATTATGGCTTTAAAAATATTTTCCTTCCGAGAAACAATGTACGGTACGGTTTACGGTATTTTGTATGTATTAAATTAAACTTCATTACTTTGAAGATAAACATCTTGAGAAAATCAGTATCTAAGAAATAATTTTCAGAAAATATTTCAGATAAATATATAGTCTGCAGTGTGATTTCAGAAAGATTTTCAATATTGTATTAAAATAATAATAGACATTAATGTTTGTAATACTTTGTGAAACGGTGGCAATGCATCTGCAACCCCACGGGTGTTGCAAATGTCCCTGAGCGGCGGTCATCACTTAACATCAGGTGAACCGCCAGCACCTTTTCACAAAAAGAAATATATTAGAAGGTTGACTTTCATAGAAAATAACTTACTTAACAGAAACTAGCGACCCGCCCCAGCTTCGCACGGGTGCAATGTATTACACATGTAAACCTTCCTCTTGAATCACTATCTAGTAAAAAAAACCGCATCAAGGTCCGTTGCGTAGTTTTAAAGATCTAAGCATACGTAGGGACAGACAGACAGCGGGACGATTTTGTTTTATACTATGTAGTGAAGTGATCAGGGACACTTGTCATTCAGACAGGAAATTTACGGTGGTAGGGCCACGCAGCAGCCTCGGCCGTTGCACGAATGGGCAGGCTTGTCGGCAGGCTTGTCCGGGTACCACGACCTCACAGAAGACTAGCGTAAAGTAGAAGTATGACAAATACTTTCGCGTTTCGTCTGGTGAGTGAGGTAGCCGGTGCCCAATCTTCAAAAGGTTGTCAACGCATCTGTAACCCTCGGGTGTGGCAGATGTCCATGGGCGGCGGTATTCACTTAACATCAGGTGAACCGTCTGCTCGGTTGACAAATTTTCGCATAAAAAAAAGAAAAAAAAACAATCGCATAAGAATTCAATTGTCTGCTGTATTTATTTAAAGATTACACAGCATTTTTTAGGAAAATCAATTTATTCCTCAGATGTTTACTTTCCGGGAGCGGCTTTTATCAGCCGGGAGTCCTTTTTTTCGCACATCCGTCCGCTTCGAGAGGCGTACTGATATCATTCATTGACAAGGATATTAGAGTATCGCGTGTCATATCCGCTTCGATGCCGTTCTTGGTAACCCGATACGTTATAGCCCGCAACACTAACTAATCGAAGTACGAAGCAGGGAGATCCTTGCTTTAACAGTTTGATTAAAATAAGATTAGAATTTAAATTTCATTATCATATTGTTGTGTGGGTATTTCAAGTAAGAGAATACACTAAAGCCCCCTGATAGAGGTCTGTAGTTTGTCGCATGGGTCTCAGCGTACCCGCAAAATTGACTCTTGATTGAAAGCTAATCTTTTAATGATTTTGAATACAATGTTGAAGAGATTAGTTTCAAGAACACTAAAATAGGACACTCGCGAACACAAGTTAAACCTGTTAGTTACGGTCATTGCAGTTTTTTAATGTGTGTGCAAAATACAAACATGTTAGGAAGTGGTTGAAGGTCGAATTTTGAAAAAAAAAAAACGACAGCACTGTTTAATTAACGTAAAAATTAGGAGCGCACTAAACTAATTTGCCGCCGAAATTTAAACCACAATCGGTTACGATCAGACACCGTGGGTATTAAATACAATTTGCATATGATGCTCAATTAATCACTGTTTCAAGTAATTACTTACGCAAATACACGTGAGTTATTCAAGCCTTATGTCTGGAAGATTCCTCAATAATATATAAGAGTGAGTGAGCGAATATTTTAATTCAAAGTGCATATGTGTGTGTGATATCGGACTAGGCGGTTGTTTTGTAGACACATTTCTATTTGCTTATTTCGCACTATTGCAAAACTATTGCCTAGCTAAGGCCTCGGAATGTCTAGGACTAGGAACACGCGTATTGCCTGCAAATACCAATAATGTAAATTTCCAACGAATTTAACGATTAAATCGAATTTAACGAAATAACGAAAACCACATTATTTAAACGAAATATATATTTTTTTATTAATTGATGTGACCCAAAAATTGTGTTAAATCTGCTATAAATATATGTTATATATGCATTTAATAACAAAAACAATTGCTAAGATTTTGTTTATTTTGTCTTTACTCTGTCCGTAACACCTGACCATCATCGCCGCAGATTATCCTCCTAGTTTTGTGTGAGACGTTAGGAAAGCGCAAAAACTGAAAATGCCTAAACAATTTTCTAATATTTTTTTTATTTTGTCTTTTTGACAAACCACAGTCCTAATATTCCCATTAATTGAATAAAAAACACCCTAATTTTACAGAATAAACTACCATCAGCTTGATGTCCGTAACACCCAAACGAACCACTATGCATCGCCGCAGATAATCGGATCTATCCTCCTAGTATTACTTGCGGACAAACAAGGTGATTACAGTATCTAACGATTTAAAAAGAAAACGTAACAGGAACATAAAAAAGTAATAGCTCTTTGCATGATTCAAATCGTTGCCGGTTAAAAAGAAACCATGGTAGTAACAAACGTCTTAATTTGGTCTTATAACACTCACTCAATATCTAAACAAAATGTCGCAAAGTATGAATTTTGAGATGAATTCCGCAACATTACATGCAACAGATGACGATTAAAAAAATCCGCTCTACCTTCATAAATTTCATTAAATTGAACTCACATATTGACATAAACGTACCGTAGAAAATGTACATCGAACTTGCGTTGAAACAACCCACTGGGTCACTTTAGTCACAAAACAAATATTCGAAAAATGGAGCAAATTAAGAAAATTCGATGTATAAACAAAAGTATTTAATAACCAAATCTATATGTATATCCACTTAGTGCGTCAAAGTGGGCCATTTCTGTTCAAACGTCAAAAGTGCGCCTAAAATCAACATGGCGCAAACTATTCCATATTCAAAAATGTATGTACACAACTTTTTTAGCGCTCGTGTGTGCACGGTTCGCTTCCCACCAGTAGCTTGCACATGGCATCGAGGAATTTGACACGCAGATGTTCGTTCCGCCACAGACACAATTTAATACCTAATGAAAATTTCTACCATTAATTCAATAATAACAGGAATATCTAATTTTTCTACATATTTTAAGGAATATCACAACCATTTCGGTAATACAAAAGTAAGATTAATAGTGTTAACTAATGTTTGATCTTTACCATTTAGATACAATCCTGATTGTTATAACGAAGAGAAATGGGTAACCATTTAAGGAGTTGAATTTTCAAATGTAGAAGCAAAACAAGAAAGTGACAACGCCGCGACATCCATTAAGTGCACTCGTGCGTGAGTTACGATGCATATGGTAACATCGTCAGACGTTTCGAAATATCATTTTAAAGTTCGGCCCGTTTATTTAATGCCAGCCATCTACGGAATGCGGCTTTGGAAGAGTGCGCGATAATAATGTATTCGACGTATTAACAAAGTATTGAAAATTCAGCGGACCCCGAGTGTGTCGAGGTAATCAAATGCATTCTGCATTCCGATCCCGCAAACGTTAAAAGCACAAGGCGTTCGAGCTCAATATAATTTACCGCCAATAAATGACGTGCGCGGAGTTGAATAAGTTTTTAAAATACGTCAAAAAAACACCGACGCGCGCTATAAATCCAAAAAGCCCGCGATATTGATGGCTTTCTTTTTACGATTACCAACGAAACTTTATTTTATTACAACTCGGTTAATTTACAACCCGCCGAGGGCATGTGGCACTTTGACATGTACGGATATAAAATCGAGACGGCCAAACGAAATGTGGTTTATTAGTTGTTGCAAAACATTTCTTTGTAAAACCATTACTACAATGGATGTATTTTAATGGTAGGTAATAATTGTTTCAAAACTGAAATTCGATGAGAAAAATGAAAAAATTACAAATTTCGTAATGCAGATGTTCTTGTGATAATGAATTCGGTCTGCATTTCTTAGTACGCTCCGGAAATACCTTGAGACCTGTTTCATATTGCACCATTGCAGAGAAATAACTAAGTTTTGGCTTGCGCAGTTGCAACATTACATTGTTATTCATTTATAAATAAACAATAAAATATTAGTATTTTTTTATTTAATTGTAAATTAATTCTTAATTAGCTTAACCCTTTAAGTATAGATTAATAACATAGATCATATAATTTTGGCAGAAAAATTAGTATGGGATAATTACTAATTAATGGTGCTCTTTATCGTACTTAAAAGATTTGTTTACGAGTCAGTTTAGCAGGTGATTTTTTGCCAAACCAATCAAGTTCTCTTGAGTTTAATAATCCGACGAACAAACCTACAACTATTCGGTAGGTGAAAAAGTGGTTTTGCCGGTGCTATTATGACTTAATTTTGTGCCAAAAATCAGACTTAGTTCCCACGACCATTAACAACAATGCTTTGAGCACTTAACAAAGTTATGTTCCTTGAAACACCGACTAACAGTTTTAGGTCTTAACACTAAACGATCGAGGTCTGAATAGGTTCTTCCGCAAACCTGGGCGTTTAGAAAGGCATCCTAAAAGGTGAAAGTCATGTGCTACCTATCGCGCCTTCGCAAAAACTCGCATCTCGTCGCGGCCTTGCCAAGGTGAGTGCAAGAGGGACATAACGGTACGGCGTTGCGGGCGCACCAGCTTCTCACACCACTGTCAATGACCACTTAGCGCACTATCGCATTGGTGCTGCTCCAACGAGCCGCGGTACCGTTGCCTTTCGACGCGACCCGGTGTCAGAGCGTCGATGAACGACGCATGCGCTACGGCATCGATAGGGACTTTCATCGGTGGTAAAGACACGTTCGCTCCGTTTCCTTTCAGTGCCGATGTTTCGCTAATATGGTGTGCGGTGCCCGGTTCGCATTTTAGACACGTATTTGGGTGTTGTGGGAAGCGGTTTCATATAACTGTGCCGCCATTCTGATACTGAGGTGTAAAGAGTTTTATTTATAAACATGGATCACGCAATAAAACGAGCTCCGAAATATGTTCGGAATGTGGGTAATTGCATAACGTGAAGAGCCTACATCAATTCCGTTGCCGACCAAGACAGTCGTTATTATGGTGCAATAACATCAAATATTAGCAACAGATTTGATGTCTTATACAATCCGTGTCTAAATCGGGCCTTGAACTCAAAAGCTAGCGAGATCTGTTGAACAAATAACTGCTAACAACCACACAGCGACAACGTGAATCGAACGGGAATAATAGTAAAACTATACTCAAATAGTCATTCACAATCATTCAGAATGCACGAGCGTGGACCCTTTGCAAATTCGGAAAGGGAAAAGCTATTAGTGGGGTGCGTCGCACCCCTATTGCGGAACGGTACTCACGATTTGGCTGATCTCAGTGATGGGGATCGGCGAGATGGTTTTATCGGAGCCCTGCGGGAGGGACGAGGCGCTGGGCGTAGGGGACACTCCGGGGGATGTCGGCTGCACGTTAACAACGCTCTCCTTCGAGGTGCGGTTGGGCGAAAGCCTCGCGGGGAAGCTCAGCGTCTTCGTCCACTGCGACAGGCTACGCACCATTTTGAGGGTTCATAAGCACAACACGTACACTGACACGGCAACACGAGGGCGCGGTACGTTCGCACAGAACGGTGGTCGGCGGACGAATGCGATTGCGCGCCGGATCCAAACAAAACTTGACGCGGCCTGTGCAAGTCGCGACTTGGTTGCGTTGCGCGTGTGTGCGTGCGCTGCGTCGGTGTGCCGTGGACGGGTGCTGGGAAGTGGGAACCCGCGGGGTCCGACCTTTTGTTTGTCGATGGGGCGACCGCCTCAATTGGTGCGATAATTCAAGCGATTTTCAAAAGGATTCATTCGTGCACCCGAAGCCTTTATCGTTTATTTTGGAATGCACCGACATCGAGAACTCCTCACGAAGACCTTTTGTTGCAAGATCTGGGTAATTTTGAACAAGACAAAGAGTGAAATATTAGCTATTTACTTTTTTTTCTTTTGAATTAATTTCCAATTTTACGAACAAGCCATGCAGTTTTTCATATGGCGTGCTATTGTGTTGTTGACGATTTACCTTCGGCATTCGAATTTCCTTAAAGGTAAAAGTAAAGTAACTGCTGGGCAAAAGCCTCCACTGTACATATGGTATTAGGGCATAGTCCACCACACGACCCTACTGCGGATTGGCGGACTTCAGATATCTAAGAAATATTTTTTCGAAAAAATGTAAGTTTTATCACGATGTTTTCCTTCACCGCTGAGCACGTGATAACTCTGCACTTAAAATTGACAATTTCATTGGTGACGGCGAAACGAAAATTGCCGACTAATTAGACACTACTTCTTTTATTTTATGTATCCCAAGTGTTTATGATTTTGATTAAAAACAAATATTTGATTAAATATTCCTTATTAAAAAACTTAAGACCAAAAAACAACCATCTGTATTAGGCTAACTCTATTTTAATATATCTACTCTATACTAGTCTTTATTATTTATATCTTTGAGATGAGAATTGATAACGAATTAATCGTTATATTCCAATAATTAACAATTCAACAACATATTGAGTAGGTTTATTTATTATACTTATTTATTGCATTGCGGAATTAAGTCAGTCTATTAATTCGAATTTGTGGTGCTTTCATTAATTGGAGTCCATTATACAATACGAGATTCGCCTAAGGTTGATTTTACAAAGGTGCAGCCTTTCAAAAATGGGAATCGTGTCTTAAAGTATGTCACGTGTGTCATAGTCTTTTTTTCCGTGAAAATATAACAATTAAATTAACGAAACGGCTCGACAACAATTCCACACAAAGATACATTTCTGTGAAATGTTTTAAAAGGTCACTGAAAATCTTAATCTGAATACTATAGCGAATGTGACTTTGTTTATTCTACTGTAAACTATGCAGTACAATTTTTGCAATGAAACTGTTGCAAGTTGGTATGTGCCTAAGTTAATAGCCTTAAGTTAATAAATAAAATACCAAAAACGTTGAACTCTTACATTAGGCAGTGGTACTTAGTATGGCTTAATTTTTGACATATGCGATCGACAAAGTCCAAATTCGAAAAGCACGGTTATAATTTGTGTTAGTCATCAACAAGTCATCACTAAATTAATCATCGTTCATACACATACGCCCGGTTTCCGAAACACTGATCATCGTAGGAATTAACTAATCAGCTGTCAAATGGCTTGTCAAATGTTATTTGAGTTGCCATAAGGATGGTTAAACTGTTTGAATTGATCATTCTGATCATTAAGAAGATCATCTGAACAATTTAGAGTCATTTCAATTAGTCCATGGCTCATTTGATGTCCTGTCCTGCTTGCCCTTTCACTTGTTCGCAGTAGGATCTCATGGTTGCCGCAAATTGTGCTGTCGAAATGGCTAATTCCAGGGCCGGTAAGATATGATTTGTCATCGAAACGTAAAAAAGAAGGAAAATGAGCTCTAGGTGTATTTGCAAGTCTACGAATGACGTTTGAGAAGTTAACTCCGGTTTGCGTTTGTCTAAACCTATCGCTTTAAAACAATAATCAATATATAGAAAAAAAAAGATCGTCTATCTCCCGTGACAATTGAACACTACAAAATTGGGAAGTGGGGCTGTGTGGCGGGAAGCCAGAGCGCGCTCGAAAAGAAAACAAAGGCCGTTGCGTGCGATTTCCGACCGCCACGTGCGCTCGCAGCTGCCGCCGTCTCGCCGCCCGCAGCGCATGCGCTCTTCTAGAATATTGCCATTTAAAAATCCGCCACGATATAATATCATTTATAAAAAAATTCGTTACTTTATATTTCAAGCGTCGTATTCTATATGTGGAAGGGGTTGTGTAGCAAGCAACTTAGAGAATCTATTGTTCCCTCACTGTATTGTAAGTACGTTTTTATACATTAATTTTAACATGGACAAACACCAAGATCCGAATTACCTGTGTGGGTCACACACATAGTTGTTTCGTGTACTTAGGATTCGAACAAACGACCGCAAGCGCCGAAGTCAATACCTTGGCAACTGCGCCACGGAGTCATGAGTTAATAAAAGCTTTGAAGATGTATAATCCGTAATTCTTTTTTGTTTATCAATTAAAATTTCTAATTTCTTCTGTCGCCGCGTCGCTGTAGTAGTTTGATTTATATTCTAGAAACGATACTGAGTTTCGATTTGTAAAGTTATCGCACTGAAACAATCAGTGTTCAAGATAACGTTGGTTAGCATATTTAAACCATAAAAAAACTGAACTTAGCACTAGCCAATAAAAATAAACGCGATAAGAAATTGACAGTAATGATAATTTAATGTGGGAGAGGGTTGGATAACATGTGCCGTATGAAATTTAGAATAATTAGACAATTACGAAGTTCTCTTACGTAGAATGATACTCAGAGATATTTTGTACATACTATACTCAATATACCGAACTTATACTTAAGACGTAACTCGTATTGAGTGTGCTGCTAAGAATTTTACCAATCAGGTATCACTACATAGTATAAAACAAAGTCGTCCCGCTGTCTCTCTGTCCCTATGTATGCTTAGATCTTTAAAACCACGCAACGGATCTTGATGCGGGTTTTTTACAAGATAGAGTGATTCAAGAGGAAGGTTTATATGTTTAAAATATTGCACCCGTGAGCCGGGGCAGGTCGCTAGTGTAAGGATAAGTAAAGTATGACTCGCCGGCATACTCCACGACTCTTCTAAACAACTCTTCCTGTCTATTGAACACGTCAAATAGAATCTTAAACCCTCTTACAAAAACGGGGTGCGGCCCTAATGGCTCTACTGACAGTTCTTGAAATGACCGGGATGCTTTGTTTTCGAAGAGGGAGAAGGAGTTCACTAGTTCAATAGACTGACTACATTGAGAGGGTGCGATATTGCGGCGATGAATATCAAGAAAAAAATGCGTACACATATAACTTTTTTGCATTATACGAGTAATGTAAAGAAATATATTCATGTTAACTACATGAATGTATTTCTCTTTTAAGATTATAGATAGGTACCAGTTCAGAGGGCACAGTTTTTGAAGTTGAAATTGTTCAATACATAAATACAACATAAAATTTGTTGTCTACTTTTTAAATGCTTTAAACCGATTCCGTTGCGTATAAGTTGACTCGATTGACACTTGCGTTTATTTTTTTCATATTAGGTTAAAGTAAAATTGATGAATTCGCACTATTTTCACGGTGCGTATTATTAACCTAAAATTTTCAGTATATCTGAAGAAACATATAATTCATCTTCAGTAAAGCGAAGTATCGAATTACATTTCTTAAATAAAATATACCAAAATAGATATGGTGGTATATTTTATGTAACAAATATACCACACGTCCTGACACACATTTTATGGAAATAAAAAATACAACAATAGGTACTCGTAGCCTTTATTTCGCAATCCGGTACACAAGCGGTAACGAGTAGGAAAAAGCAACAGTGCTTGTTATTGTTTATGACCTACCCAAAGTGGATGTCAATCCCATTAAAGGTGACACTCCACCAGTGTTTCCATTCATCGATTGGGTACATGGCATACGTTATCTGTGGCCAAGTGGCACCCGTTGCGCTAACACGCCCTTTGTCGTACAAAAAATAATCCGCACTCCGCTGTGTCACCACCCTACTGTTCATGTTTCGTATTCTCATTCAAATCTATAGGTACCGTGTGTACACTGCACGAAATTAGTGTAACGTCAATCCCGACACGTCTCGCGGGTGACTATTTTCGGCGGGTCGTAAATTCACATCTGTAAATGTGAAACGCACCCGTCCCTTTAACGCTTATTAACGAAAATATTACAGCTTTTACTCGCTCCTTTACCATCACTAGGGCGAGTGATGAATGTAAAAAAGACAGTCTTGTGCTATCAATTTATCTGAACTCATTGAACTGAATTGATATAACGATAACGCTTTAGTTTAATATAATGACTAAGTTTAAAAATAGTAAAATTTTATGAAAGTATTTTGCGGATTACGGATAAGAAAATAGTGTAATTAAACCATTTACAGTATTCGCGTTATTACAAAAAATCAATATAAAAAAATTAGTATCAAAAAAAGATATTTCTATAAGTCGAAAACCGCAGTAAATTTTTGTGGAGGGTCATTAATATTTTAGGATATATATATTTAGGACACATTTGTACACAACATTTTCTATTCCCAAACTAAACAAAGCCTGTACTATGGGTACTAGAAAACTGATAAACATACTGAAACATACTTTTCTTTTGTAAATAAATACATATTATACATATAGAAACACCCAGACACTAGAAAAACACCATGTTCATCACACAATATTTTTCCAATAGTGGGGATCGACCTCACACCCTCTAGCGCAGGAGGCAGGTACACATTTGCACACGCCATTCGGGTCGTCATTCGCAAGATGAATATAAATATAGATGTTCATTTTTTATATATGACTTTTTTAAACAATAGGGGTAAGTATATTGTGTTATCTAATTTTTGCGATCACCTTAGATCATTTATTAGTATCTTGTGTTGTTCACTGATACTTTCAGACGTTACACTACAAAAAGATATCTCGATATGGTTGCACTTTTAAATCGTCAACTTCGAAATCATTTATTCATGACTTCACACAACACCAAATTACAAAACTATAGTGAACCTGTTTCTTAAGCCAGAGGATTTGGGCTGGATACCCACTTCTGGACGAATATTGTACGATAGTATTTTCCTTGTGTCTGGGTGTTTATCTATTATACATACACGTAGGTATTTATTTTCAAAAGAATAGTATATATCAAGTATGTCTAATTACCTATTACCCATATTAGCGAGCTGTAATTAGTTTGGTATAGATTCTAGAAAACGTGTTATACGTCCTCATTCTTCAATTATAATTTCGGGCTCGGGAAAACTCATTTGTTTTGACGCACCCTCAAACGAATTCACAAAGAACAATAGATAGTTGTTCAATAAATACAATTAGCTGTTAACTAAATAGGGAAGACAAAAAACGACAATTAAGGGGTGTTGCAACGTCGGGGCGCGCACGTGTGTTTTATCCCTTAACGAGGCTGCTTCAACAATTCGCTTTAGTTATGTGACAGGCGATAAATATCCGACGAATGTATCGTGTTGTGGGAATATAAACATGACTGTTAAATGCATCACCAAGTTTTTATACACACACTCTTAAAGCATTGCAGATAGCATAGTATGCGCAAGTTACGGGAATGTCCGGAAATAACAGTTAGTTATTAAAGTACTAGAAAAAATATTTCCTAGCAGTGCAATTACAAGCATCGTCATCATCCTGTCCTTATCCCACTTAGGTTGGATCGGCACATGATGTGAATTATGATGTTTGTTTGTTTTGACAATGTTTTTTTTTACGTCAACTCTCGTTGGGAAACATAATAAGTAATTACAATCTAATGTTCAGGATATAAATATCTATCGTTGTCCACCAGATTTTATTAGGTTAATGTGGAGGCCTAAAAGAGGCTACAAATATAGGCCACAGTCGACATGTGGCTTGGTTTTGTGAAATGAGACCGATATTATTAATAACTAGCTGTAATCCGCGGCTTCACCCGCGCGGCCAAAGGGAATTAACAATGAGCTTTTTATTATACACTACTTACTTGACACTTATATATACATTTTGTCCAATTCACACAATATCTTTATATATTATAGCCTATGTGTTATTCTGATGTATAAGCTATATTATTGTAAAGTTTCATTAAAATCTATTCAGTAGTTTTTGTGTGAAAGAGTAACAAACATCTATCCATATCCAAACTTTCGCCTTATAATATTATATATAAAAATATATAAATATATACTATACATAAGTAAAGATCTTTCTTCGAATGACTCGTGACGTTGCTAAGCTATTTATTGGCTTTGTTCGGGGTTGTCGGCTTGATACCAATACGGGACTATCTATGTGACCCACAGACAATTGTTCCGCAGCTAAGTGCATGTTACCAAGGATGGTTGGTCGGTTCTAAGTAAAATTATTGTAAAAGTAAATTATTGCGTGTTCTCGAAGTCAATTTGTGTCGGCAGACAACAGTTGACGGGGCAGTATTATATCATAAAACGATTTCATAAATTTATGTGATTACTACAAATTTTTAAAGTAGAACATAAACAATCACGTTTAAAAATTTATTGACTTTACGGCATCGATGCATGATTTCTTTTTAATACCTATTTAAAAAGTGCGTAACACTAATCTTATTCCACTCCTTCGGTTGAATAATAGAACGTTATTATTCCATAGTCTTATTTGATGTCTTGCAGAACATGGTTCTAAGTCTCACATGGCAACATCTGCTGCGTAGTTAATACAATCGAAGGAACAAAGGCAGGACGCTCTTGCACCATATGTGTCACGTTGGCAGTGCGAACGGCGAGGAAAAAAAATCAAAAATAGATTCGGCAAAGTGACCTATGCCACATGGTAGCCTCGTGCCCGCCAAAGGTCCAAAGACATGTGAAAAAACAACTAAGGGTTCGCTTTGCGTTCTTCCATTTGGTCGTGACACGTCGACGATCTTTTGTAATCTGTAATAATTTTAATTACGTTAGATAAAAACATCACGACTGAGCCCCGCACTCAAGTTTGTTTTTTAAACTTCCAAACGTTTTACAACGAAATTCCAACGCAAATACAAGGCGGCAACAACCAACCACCAAACCAATTTTTTATGTGAGAAGGTGGCAAACGAGCA